CTTAAGAAGCAAGGGTAAATTTCAAGGTAACCACAAAGAAAGTTAACAAACCTACTCATCAAAATAAAGAAGAAAAACATAAAGACTCAGTAAAAACAAAATCTACAATAACAAAAGAAATGAAAAGAAATTTCCCAAACAAAAGAATCTCAGCACAGGAGAGTAAGAGGAACAAAGAAAACGTCAGCACCACAAAAAAGCACTGCAAAATAACAGCAATAAACTCACACCTATCAATAATCACACTGAATGTAAATGGCTTAAATGCACCCATAAAGAGAGAGAGAGTGACAGAATGGGTTAAAAAAAAAAATGACCCATCAGTATGCTGTCTACAAGAGACACACGTTAGACATAGAGACATAAATATACTAAAAATCAAAGGATAGAAAAAATTATACCAAGCAAACAGCAACCAAAAAAGAGCAGGAGTGGTAATACTAATCTCAGATAAAATAGATTTTAAGGCAAGATCCACTATAAAAGACAAGGAAGGACATTATATAATGATTAAAGGGACAGTCTACCATGATGACATAACCATAATAAATATCTATGCACACAACAAACAGGGCTCCAAAATACATAAAACAAACTCTAACAGCATTGAAAAGAGAAATTGACAGTTCCACAATAATAGTAGGAGACTTCAACACACCACTCTCAGTAAAGGAAAGAACATCTAGAAAGAAACTCAACAAAGATACAGAAGATCTAAAGGTCACAATCCACCAACCAGACCTCATAGACATAAGTAGAACACTCCACCCAACGGCAGCAAAGTATACATTCTTTTCCAACATACATGGAACATCCTCCAGAATAGACCACATCTTAGGCCACAAAGCAACCCTCAACACAAAATCCAAAACATTGAGATAATACAAAGCATCTTCTCTGATCACAATGCAATAAAAGTAGAAATTAATAACAGGAAGGGCAAGGAAAAAATCAAATCATGGAAACCGAGTAACACCTTGCTTAAAAACCACTGGGTAATAGAAGAAATTGAAGACAGAATTAAAAAATTCCTAGAATCAAACAAGAATGCAAACACATCATATCAAAACCGATGGGACACAGTAAAGGCAGTGCTCACAGGTCAATGTATAGCAATAGATGCACACATCACAAAGGAAGAAAGGGACAAAATGAAAACATTAGCCCTACAACTTGAACAAATAGAAAGAGAACAACAGAAGAAGCCCACAGCCACTGAAGAAAGGAAACAATAAAGATCAGAGCAGAAATAAATGAAACAGAGAATAGAAACACAATGGAAAGAATCAACAATATCAAAAGCTGGTTCTTTGAAAGGGTCAACAAAATCGACAAACCATTGGCCAAACTGACAAAAAAAAAATTAAGAGAAGAAGCAAATAATCCAATTGATAAATGAAATGGGGGACATTACAACAGACCCAACTGAAATAAAAAGGATCATAACAGAGTACTATGAGAAACTGTACAACTGTACAACCACAGACACATTGACCAATGGAACAGAATTGAGAACCCAGATGTAAATCCATCCACCTACAGCCACCTGAACTTTGACAAAGGCCCTAAGTTCATTAAATGGGGGAAAAGACAATCTTTTAACAAACAGTGCTGGCAAAACTGGATGTCCATCCGTAAAAAAATGAAACAGGACCCATACATCACACCATACACAAAAAGTAATTCAAAATGGATCAAAGACCTATATAATATAAAGCCAAAACCTATAAATTTTATAGAAGAAAAAATAGGGTCAACACTAGGGGCCCTAATATAAACAGCATATAAACCATAATTAACAATACACAAACACCAGAAAATAAGCTAGAGAAAAGGCATCTCCTAAAAATTAAACACTTATGCTTATCGAAAGACTTCACCAAAAGAGTAGAAAGAGACTGGGAATAAATTTGGGGCTATGACGTATCCGACAAAGTTCTAATCTCTAAAACCTACAGGAAAATCCAACACTTCTACAATAAAAAGACAAACAATCCAATTAAAAAATGCACAAAGGATATGAACAGACACTTCACCAAAGACATTCAGGCAGCTAACAAACACATGAGGAAATCCTCTCAATCACTAACCATTACCAAAATGCAAATCAAAACGACAAAGAGTACCATCTCACCCTGACATTACTGGCACGAACCAAAATAAATAAATAACAAATGTTGGAGAGATTTCAGGGAGATTGGAACCTTATGCAATGCTGGTGAGAATGCAAAATGGTACAACCATTTTGAAAAACAATATGGCACTTCCTTAAAAAGCTAGAAATAGAAATATCACATGATCCAGGAATCTCACTCCTAGGAGTATATCCTAGAGAAATAAGAGCCATCACTTGAATAGACATATGCGCACCCAGTTCATTGCAGCATTATTCACAATAGCAAAAAGATGGAAACAACCTAAGTGCCCATCAACAGATGAATAGATAAACAAACTATGGTACAAACACACAATGGAATACTACACAACAATAAAGAACAATGATGAATCTGCAAAACATCTCACAACATGGATGAATCTGGAGAGCATTATGCTGAGTGAAATAAGTCAATCACAAAAGGACAAATACTGTATGAGACCACTATTATAAAAGCTCAAGAAAAGTTTTACACACAGAAAGAAACATTCTTTGATGGTTACAATGGAGGGGAGGGGTGGGAAGGGAAAAACACTAAGTAGATAGTAGATAAGTGGTAACTTGGTGAAGGGTAAGACAGTACACAATACTGGGGAAGTCAGCACAAATTGACTAAGACAAACTCATAGAAGCTTCGTAGACATAGCCAAATGCCCTGAGAAACCAGGCTAGTGGGCTGAGGGCTGGAGACCATGGTCTCGGAGGATACCTAGCTCAATTGGCATAATAGTCTATAAAGAAAATGTTCTACATCCGACTGTGGTGAGTAGCGACTGGGGTCTTAAAAACCTGCGAGCGGCCATCTAAGATACATCAACTGGTCCCATCCTGGCTGGAGCAAAGGAGAATGAAGAAAACCAAAGACACAAGGGAAAGATTAATCCAACAGACTAGTGGACCACAACTGCCATGGCCTCCACCAGACTGAGCCCAGAACAACTATATGGTACCCAGTTACCACCACCAACTGCTCTGGCAGGGGTCACAATAGAGTGGGAGAAAAATGTAGAACAAAATTCAAACTTACCAAAAAAAAAAAAAGACCAGGCTTCCTGGTCTGACAGAGACTGGAGAAACCCCAAGAGTATGGTCCCCAGATACCCTTTTAACTCAGTACTGAAGTCACTTCAGGGGTTCACCCTTTAGCCAAAGATTAGACAAGTCTATAGGGCCAACAAAAACACACATGAGGGACACGCTTCCTAGTTCAACCATGTATACGAGACTAATGGGCACACCAGCCCATAAGCAACGATTAGAAGGCAGGAAGGGACAGGAAAACTGAGGGAATGGAAACAGGGAACCTGGGATGGAGAAGGGGAGAGTATTGATACATTGCAGGGTTGGCAACCAATATCACAAAACAATTTGTATATAACTGTTTAATGAGAAACTAATTTGCTTTGTAAACTTTCACCTAAATCACAATTTTAAAAAAGTTCCTCCGTCCTATATACTCTGCTCCGTTTCTTTCATTGCAATCACAGCCAAATTTCGTGAAAATTATATCCTTACCTTCACCGCCTCCACTTTCTCTTCCCAAGGTACTCCTCAGTCTACTGAAATCTGGCCTCTGAGTTCACCACTCTAATGGAACTGCTGCCACCAAGATCACTAAAGCCTCCGTTGTTGCCAAACCCAGTGAGCACTCTTCCTTCTTCGTCTCATGATCCTCAGCAGCATTCCATACTGCACAGTTCCTTCTTCCTTGGCTTTCGTCACCACTGCCTCTCTAGCTCATCTTCCCCTGCCCTCCTTTTATGTTCTCCACTTTCTTCCTCAGCAACACACTCTCTGTGGATGATCTATTACTCTCTTCCCACCCATACATTGATGATGTCCAAATCTCTATCTCCAGCCACAACCTCCCTCTCAAAGCTCCACTCGCATAAACCCCGTCTCAGTAAATGGCCCCATGACCCAGCCAGCTGCCCAAGTCTGGGTGCACTCTTACTCTTCCCTCTCCCTCCACCACACAGAAAAACGATCCTCAAGATCTCTTCATTCTACCGCCTAAGCTTCCCATACAACTATTTCTCTCTTTCTACCTGCTACCACGTTAATTCTGCTTTCCATTCTCTCCCACTGAGATTGCTGCAAAATCCTCTGATCTCTCCCTTTCCAAGCTAGTCTCTACACTGCAATCATAGTGAGCTTTCTGAGGCACAGATCTTTCTCACTCCTAGGCTTAAAATGCTTCACTATTCCTCTGGATAAAGCCCCACATCTGTATCACAGCTGACAAGGCCCAGCAAAAACAGGACCAAGCCTACCTTTTCAGCTTCACCTTTCACTATTTCTCCCTTGCATCCTTCTACTCCAGCCATGCTGAACAAGTCACAGCCTTCTAAAGAAATCATGAGCTTGTTCCTTGACCTTTGCTGTTCCCTCTGTCTGGAATGCTCTTGCCCTCCCTCTGCCTGGATAACTCCTGCTGTCTTCAAGCCTAGCTTGGACCTCTGTTCCTCTAGGAGGCCAAGACTGGCTTCGCTGCCCCTACTGGATGTTCCCATAGCAATTCTCTACCATGGATCACTGATGTTTTTGCAGTCTTACATCATTTGCTATACACAGCTTCAAACCCTGCACCCCACCCCTTCCTAATCAGCACCCTAAGGCCCCTTCTGTATGGAGCCACCATTACCCCATAGGATCCTTCTCATACCACCTATCCCACTCTTTTGTAAATGTCTACTTAACTGTTTCCCTTCTCCAATAAATTGTGAACCCCACAGAGGGCCATTTCTATTTTGCTTACCACTTCACAGTGACTGGCAATTAGTAATTGCTCAGCAAAGGTTTGGTGGGTGAATTAATCTTTGGAATGATTATAGTACTACCCACCTTAGTTATGATAGTTTAATGAAAATATGTAAAACATTTATAATTTACATAATGCTGTAGAAATATTGTATTATTATTGGTGTTTGTTCTACTAAACCATGAACTCCATAAGGTATGGTCTATGCCTTATTCAATTTCTTGTCTCTGAACTCAGCATGGCTGACACATTTTCAACCATATGATTGTGTCACTTATTATAAGAAATGAAAATGGAGGCCCAGATAAGTGATCTACTCTGGACCACCCACAACTACCTTGTTCTAGAACCAGGACTAGAACCCAGAATGCAGTCTGGAAAAAGGGAAGCTTGGAAGAAAGTTGATCGATATTTAAATGAAGTTCCAGCATGGACAAAAGAAGACTGGCCAGCAGCTGTGGGAACAGTCAAAGCCCCAGACCTCCATGGTCAAGTATCCACATGGTTGGCATGAGCCAGGGGAGGACAAGGGTCCTAGGTGTTTCAGCATGGAGGGGATAGTAGACCCCCTGGTTCTTTGTTTCTTAGTCTGTTTCAATGTCAGCCTCAGACACTGGGATTGAAGTGCCACTTATTTCCTCCCTCATCTGTTTGTTCTTTAGTTCTTTTCCCAATGGTACCTTCCTACGGAGTGAGCAAGTCACTGACAGAGGCCTGGGAGGAGTCATTTACAGTCCAGCCCCTTAGGAATGTTAGAGTTGCCTCCTTCCAGATCTTCAGCACTAAACTCCCCCTTCCTCAGATGCCCCTCCAGCTCAGGTCTCAACAATTCATCCCCATCCTCAGAGTTTCCCAAATGCCCCTGGAGAAACTCATGAGATGGCAATAGACATGTGAAAAGCAGCAGCACAAAGAAGAGGGGCACAAATAGAATCCTGGTTTTTCCCCTTCTGAGGAGAGGAATCCAATGTCCCCACCCCACCTCCAGCAGCAGAGGAGTCACTGAGCACCCGAGTGGGTACTCAGTGACCCAGAGAAAGCTGAGCTGGGACCTCCTCTCTTTCACCAGCAGAAGACCCATCCCTCAGGCTCAAGTGTCCAAGATGAGAGACAGACGGATTTTTTTCTCTCAACAGACTTTTTCCAGTACGTTCTGCTCAACCTTCAAGCGCACTGACATGCTAGTGTTTACTCTTTGTGCTTCCGTACAACTTCCAGGAGTTATGTCCTCACTAGGACCGGTGAAAGGGATGAGTTTGAGGGAATGTGTAGCCCAGATACCTCAGCCTTTTCTAAATATACTTCAGTTTCCTTTGCTCCTTGGCTGTTGGATCTCTGCTGGCATTAGAGAAATTGCTCAATGATCCATAACCTGAATAGGATGCTCCTGAGCGAAGAGAAACGATTTCAAACTCCCTCCTCTCCTCGTTCCTACTCCTAATGGTCAACCTGTCAAACTATGCTTTGTGCTACCATCTAACCCAAACAATACTCTGACAGCCAATTAAACAAAGTCTATTCTTCCGTTTCCCCAAGAATTAAATCTAGGAAGTCCAGCTGCTGCTCACTCAACATGTGAGAGTCCAGAAAGGCCAAAGGTGCCCTGACTCACAAGAGAGTTCATATCTGCTGAAACCCAGAGTTGACACTATAAGCCGACTCTGACCACCTGCTAACTCCTAGCCCAAAGGCATTGGGCTGTCTTCGCTTCATCCCTAAACCAGGTTAAGTGGGATTCAGGAGGCTGGGTCTGTGCCCTCCCCTATGTATCTTGTACACCTTAGCTGCTGGGATTTTAAGGAATGAAACTTAACACTGTACTTAAAGGGCTGTTCTGCTCAAATCATAAATGTACACACCAGTTGTCTGCCAGTAATTAAGGCTCTACTCCTATACATTTAATCAATGTTTTCACAATCATTTTGTCAACTAGAAATTTCTATTGACAGGAAGTTCTGGAATTATACTCCATGAGGCCCCAGGATTTGGAGAACATAATACACCTTTCTTAATCCAAATACTTGGGTGCCTGAGGGTGGAGTCTTGATCATGGCCAGGCTGGCAAATTTAGGTCAGGTCCTGTTTGTGCATCTTTATATGCTCAGTGCTTAGCAGAGGTCCAGACACACAGCAGCTCCTCAATAAATATTTGTAGAACTTGAGTAAATCCTGTAAAAATCTCAGAAAACTTGGAGACATCAGTTTGTGACACCTTCTCTCACTGCTTCTTCTCCCAGAAGGTACAATCCCAGGTCTGGCAGCAGGGGGTGCACAGGGTGGCTACTCAAGTCAGAGAGGGAATGGCACACACTTCAAAAGGAGTTTGGATTTAGACCAAGCTCTCAGAGCCTGACCTGACCTCTACCGCCCCGCCCCCTTGATAACAAGAACTGTAAGTGCAGAGTAGAGCAATGGTTAAGCTGTTGGCTGCTAACCAAAAGACTGGCAGTTTGAATCTACCAGCCACTCCTTGGAAACCCTATGGGGCAGTTCTACTCTGTCCAGTAGCGTCGCTATGAGTCAGAAGCAACTCGACAGCAACAGGTTTTTGATGGGTTTGAAGGGGCAGAGTGGGAGAGTGGGCAGAGGAAGTGGCTTTCAGGGCCTTAGAACTCCTAAGAGAACTTTTCTTTAGCAAAGAGAATGCACAAAAAACAAGGAAGGAGAGAAGTTTCCCACAGTTGTGACCCTGAACCAGCCGTTGTCACCTCAGTCCATCTGGGGAAGGGGATACAAAGCAGACAATCTTTATTCACAATTGGGGCGGCAGAGGGGAGATACCCCCAGGTCAGTCCAAAAGCAAAGATGCTGGGTGCGGAAGATGGCGCAGGGTTGGGAACTCAGCATTCATCCTCACCCAGAAGGGCATAAGGGTTTCGGGTGGCCAGGCTGGACCCTGGAGCTGAGGTTGGGGTGTCCTCATCCCCTTCCCCCTCCTCATCTGCATCCCGGTCTTCCTCTCCCTCCTCCTCACAGGAGCTGCTCAGCTCTTCCTCTTCCTCCTCCTCCTCCTCCTCATCACCTGCCGGCCCCACTCTGCCCTGTAAAACCACCAGCTCCATGGTCTCTGGATGGGACTCCCAGGTCCCTGAGGAACCAAAACAAGAGGGAAAAAAAAAAAATAGGGAGGAGAGTTTTGAGCAAGGGATTAAAACCAGAGAAGAGGCGAAGACTAAGAATAACAATAATCTCTACAGCTGCGGCCATGCATTCATTCACTCATTCATTCAGCTGATAGGGGTGCCTCCCATGTGCAGGCACTGGTCAGAAGCTTTGCACACATTGATTGCAGTCTTTGTCACGACTTGCCAGGGGGGAATTATCACCCTCATTCTGAAGACCAGGAAACTGTCTCAGAGACATGAAGTAACAGAGCTGGACAAGAGGTGAGGGGCCCAGGTCTGGTCCTCGCTGTCTGGCCACAAAGCCCCCACTCTTGCCTACACGATAGCAGGGGGCTGAGGAAGAACATCTGGCTCTCTGACCTTTCTGTTCACTGTAGCCCGGGGGATGAAAACACAGGCTGAGGCGGCCATCCACCGCCAGCCACAGGAGGCTGTTGGCTGCCCTGTACACATCATTTCGAGCCGCCCTGGCTGTCTTGTAACCACGTTTCTCTGCCCAGGCTGGAGGGAGAAAAGAATAACGGGAGAGAAGCCAGTTAACCAGGTCCCAGTCACTATTACCCCCACTCCCATAACATAGTCCTTCCAGTTTCCTGAGAACATTCCAGGCCAGAGATCTTGCTGGCTGTGGAACAGAAATATAGGATTGAGTGTACAGCTCTTCATCGATGGCAAAATCTCTGAGAAGAGGAAAGGAGATAAGACAGGGTAAATGGCAAGGCCAGAAGGCCGGCAGGTAAGGGAGAGCAGGTGAAGTCAGGTGGGGAGGAGAAGTCAGACACATGCAACCCACCTTCACAGATGTCCCAGGCACACCAGGGGTGTTCTGCTGAGGGGTCCTCAGCCTCTGGGTGGCGCAGGCGGAGCAGGGCCTGCACGGGGATTCGGGAGGCCAGATAGCCCACAGCTGTATATGGCTCCTGGATTTGGGCAATGGGGTAGATCCCCGCGAGAACCTGAGAGAAACAAGAGCACTCAGCCCTCTTCCTTAGTTTCCCACCTTCTCTCCCTATCCCTGCTACCTCTGCCCAAATACCTGCAATTGCCTGGGCAGGAGAGAGGGGAAGACAAGGCCCGGACAGTCACAGAGCTTCACAGAGGGGGTGAGGAAGTAGGTCTGAAAGTATCGGGTATGGCCCGGTGTTCTGGAGACACTCACGACCTTCCGCCCTACCAGCCCATTGATCAGCGAGGACTTTCCCACATTGGGGAAACCTGAGGACGGCAAGGAAACCACAAAGAAAATTAACATTTCACAGGTCCTCACTCTGTAAAGGGCAGGCCTTGGTTAATGCCTTAGCTATACATGACAGTGGAACTACAAAGTTCAGAAATAAAGGAAGCGGTGCAACACTGAAGAGTTCAAGTTGCAGCTCAGGCTCTGGATTGCCAGGGGTGAATCTTGGCTTCTCCACTTACTAGCTTTGTGACCTCAAGGCAATTTACTTAACTTCTGAGCCCTGTTTCCCAATTTACAGTGCAGGTATCTTCTACCCCAGAGTAATCAGGATTAAGGGAGATAACAAATACAACTGCATGGTCAGTGCCTACAGTAGACAGTAAGTGCTCAAAACAAGTGAGACATGCATCTCGTAATAACTATCAGTAACCTGTCCGAGGAGAAGACTGGAAGCCTTGCTCCACTGCACCTCTCCTCACAACCACCAGCACCATCATTCTGGCTGACTTCAGTACCTGCATGAATCTCCTGGCCAGCACGCCAGCCTCTCAGTGCCTTGATCTCACTTCCAAAGATCATTTCCTTCACCGCCCCCCAGATACCCACTCCCATGGTCCCACCCTAGACTTGTCACTTCATACCCCAAAAATCTCAGTTTCAAGCTCCCCTCTCTCTGTCCTTATATCCCATCTTTCCAGCTCACTTATTCCAGTTCTACCATTTCAATAACTCTTTGACCCTGGCCCTAGCACAGTAAAACCTGTCAATGCCTGACTCATGGCCTCACTTCCCTTCTTATACAACTTAGATTCCGTTAGCCACCTCTACAGCCAGTCCTTTTCCTAGACCTTGAACTCTCTGGTCCTGCCCCTACCCTCCACCTCACCTAGCAAAGCCCCAACCCTGTAAAATGCAACTCTCTACCCATTTAGCACCTGCCCTGGGAAGCCAAATGTGGTCAGGGCAAGGTAGATGCACCACCATACTGACTGTGCCCCTTTTATAATATGCTGAAGTATCTCCTTTCAAAGGAAGGGGAAAAAAAAGGAGACAGGGAGTGAGGGAAGGAGGGAATGAGAGAAGCAGGGAAGGAGGGAGGGAGGAACCCTCCTTTGACAACCCCCACCATCCCCATTTCCATCCCCTTTATGGTAAAACTCCTTAAAAGAGGTCTATTTTGTCATCACTTCTTCATGCCATCTTCGTTGTAACTAAACTATAACATACACAAAAATGCATAAAACATCAACGTACAGCCTAGTGAACCCCATATAACCCAGCTCTGGGTGCAGTGTAGCACTCTTCCTCAGAGGCCCCATTTATCCCTTCTGGATCATAACCCTCTTCTTCCGCACATGTGAACCATCTTCCTGGCTTTTAAGAGATTCCATTCCTTGTGGGGTTAGCAACCAACGTCACAAAACAATGCGTATTAAGTTGTTTAATGAGAAACTAATTTGCTCTGTAAACCTTCATCTAAAGTACAATTTAAAAAAAAAATTTTTTTTTAACTAAAAAAAAGATTCCATTCCTTATTTTTCTTTTTAGTTCTACTGCCTGTGTATCCCTGAACAATGCAGTTTAACTTTGCAGCTTTTGAACTATGGAATCACATAGTATACATTCTGTTATGTCTGGCTCATCTTGCACAGCGTTATGTGGGGTCACCCATGTTGTTGCACATCCTCTCATTGGCCAACCACAATCTGAATTTTCTCTCCACCACTGCACTCACACCACTGACCTGCACGTGGTCAAGCCCACTGGTCAAGTCTCTATTCTCATCTTACTCGACTCATCAGCAACATTTGACATAGCTGATCCCTCCTTGCCTCTTCAAACACTTTTTTCATTTGACATCTGGGATACTCTCTAGGTTTTCCTCCCTATGGTTTCTCCCTCTTTTCCCAACCTCTAAATACTGGCTTGCCCCAATTCAGTCCTTGGCTTTCTCTTTTCCATCTACCTCTTCTCCCACATCTCATCCAATCCCATAGCTTTAAATACCATTTATATCCACCAATGCCTTCCCACATTTAAATTTCTCCCAAATTCAAATCTCCAGCCCTCTTCTCTCTCCCAAACTCCTAGTCAATATCTCCACTTGGGATCTTTAAATGAATCTCGAATTTAATTTTTGGTTCTCTCCCCTCCCCAACATCTCCAAATCTGCTCCTCTCCCAGTCTTCCCATCTCAGTATTCCCACTTGCTCAGGCCAAAAACCTGAACGTCCTTCTTTACTTCTCTCTTTCTCTTACTCCCCAAATGCAACCCACCAGCAATTTTGTTTGGTCTACCTGTCTCACCACCTCCACCTCTACTACCCTACTCTCAGAAACTCTTATCTCTCCCCTGGACCACTGGCATAGCCTCCATTGCTTTCTCTGCTTCCTTTCTTGCCACCCCACCCCCACCCCCACCCCCACCATGTATTCTCTACTCCACAGGTAAACTTTAACAAAGGAAATCAGAACCTGCCATTCTCCTGCTCAAAACTCACCACTGGCATCGCATCAAACTTAGAATAAAATCCAAAATGCCTTCTAATAATCACAAGACCCTCTGTGATGTGGGCCCCAGTGACCTTTCTGACCTCATCCCCTGATATTCTTCCCTGGCTGCCTCAACTGCAATCCCCCTGGCACTCTTGCTGGCCTCAGAATCACCAAGTTCATTTCCACCTCAAAAACCTTCCACTTGCTGACCCCTTTGCCTGGAAGGCCCTTTCCCTAGACCTCCAAATGGCTCACTTCCTCTCATCACCCAGGTCTCTCCTCAGGAGGCTTTTCCTGAGGACCCCTCCCCTCCCAGTCATTCTCCTTCCTCTTTCATGCTTTATTTCCTTAAATAATATGATTTCAGATCACTAATCTATTTACTCACAAGAAAACAGCTCTGTAAGGATGGAGATATTTTCTGCCACTTTAACAGCAACATATCCAATCCCTAGAACAGCACCCAGCACCTGGTAGATGCTCAGTAAATATGTGTTGGATGGATAAGTGAACAAGAGCTAGAGGGGAACCCAAACTCACGGCTGCGTGTGCCAGAGCCAATGCTCTCCCCATCACACCACCCTGAACACAGACAGCTCAGTGCAGGGCTCCTGAGGGGGAGCAGAGGCCCCATGCGAGGGAGAGCCCAGTCTTGGGGGGTACAGGAAAGTTGGGGTACAGTGACTGGAAGGGGGAGCTATCTGTCAGCAGCCAGGCAGGTTTTTTCCAAGACAAAAAGGAGACTGAAAGATAAGAAAAGTCTGGAGCGTTTCCAAAGAGCCCAACTAACTACTCCACTCTCACAACTTCTTTTGGGCTGGGCCCTTTTTGGTTGCAATATCACCTCAGACGTAACTATGCCAAGGTCTCTTCTCACCTTTCCAACAAATAAAATTCCAAGGAATCCCACTCAAAATGAAAAGGTGCCCTAAGCTCTAATCATACATTCCTTTCTCCCCACTGAGAGCAGAGACAAAGCTCTTGGTTAAGGGAAGCTTCTCCTTGACAACAGACTTAAAGGGTTAAGACCCTAAAGGAAGTTAATACTTGCTGAGCTAGTATTTAATGATCACTCTACTATCAGAGCCCTGACGGCATAGTGGTTAAGAGCTCAGCTGCTAACCAAAAGGCCAACAGTTCAAACCCACCAGCCACTCCTTGGAAACCCTATGGGCCAGTTCTACTCTGTCCTATAGGGTCGCTATGAGTCAGAACTGACTCAACAGCACCTAACAACAACAACTACTATGAACTCATTGCTACAATTGAAAATTAGTACACATAAAATTAATTAAAATGTAAAACTTGCGTATAAAAATCACTTAGAACAGTGCTTGATACATAGTAAGCACCGTAACTGTGCTAAGCTCTAACAATAATTATTATTGGTTTTACTACTATGACTACTTATCAGATATCATTATGTAGTCTCAACACTATTCCATTCATTCTTCACATCCATTCTTTTAATTAGGTATCAACGTCCTCATTTTTAAAATCAAAGGAACTAAGACTCAGAGTGGTTAATGAGCTTGCTCAAGGTCACACAGATGAAAAGAAGTGGACTTTAACTCAGGTGTTCCTGTGATCCTGCCAAGACAGCAGATGGCCTCCTCCACCTTGCCAATGACCACCCGCAGAGGGCACCCCCTCAGAAGCCCTGAGGCCTAAAGAGGCCTGATCACCAGCCCTCTTTTCCAAATATTGAGACTCTGTGCCTCCAAGGAGGCCGCCATGCCCGGGCTGCTGCTTCCTTACCCACACAGCCAATGGTCACCACCCCATCCTTGTAGCGCTCCCGGGTTGGGCCGATCGGCTCCATTGCTGAATCAGTCTGCTGCTCCACCAGGACTGCCGGCGCATCGTCCTCTTCCTCCTCCTCCCCAGAGCCATTACCCCAGGTGGCACCGGCCACGTCCCGAGCAATCTTCTCCCGCCAGCTGCTCAAGTCCACTACTCAGGGAAGAAGAAGACGAAGAAGGTTCTTCTGGGGCCACTGTGTATGATGGCACAGACTGTGTACTACACAGATGATGGGACTGGCACCCTCTGGAGTGAGGTAGTGTCAGCCTGCACAACAGTGGACCATAAAATCTCCCCAGCCTTCCCCATAAACCCACCCTTAGAATCATTTGCATTTCTCTGTCTGGATTTCCTAGGAGTGCTGAGAAGACGAAAGGCACTAAACTCACTGAGATGCCTACCTATGCTCCCTACTCCATCCCTCCCCCGGCCTCTCACACTCTCCATAATAGAGGGGCTGTCTTCCAGAAAGGTAGGCAAAACTCCAGGCCTTGGGTGTCCCACAGTGCCCCTCTAAGACACACATACCTTTCCCCGCAGTGATGGCTTCACAGGCTCTCAGCAGCTGCTCTGGTCCCAGGGCCCGAGTCCACCCTCTCCCTCGCTTCCGACTCTTCTTCAAGACTGAGATCGTAGGGCACAAAAGGTTAGCACACAGGCTCCTGCATCCCATCTCTGTCACCACCCTTGGGCCCAAGTTCATGTACCCTCTCGTCAATAAACCTCTCTGTTGCCTCCTTGGTCCCCTGCCACCCCACCTCTCCCATGGTGCCCTTGTCATTGCCCACTCACCGCTACCAGGGTCCTGTGGGGAGCGGATATCCCGAGGGAAAGAGGTAAAAAGGATGATGTGGAGCTGGGGGTAGTGTTGGTGGAAATAGTGCTTCCAGGCAACCACAAGAGCTGGCGAGGCCAGGTCCACCTTGTTCAGGACCAACACCAGGGCCAGCCCAAGTTCTCCAGTCACATACTCATAAAGTGCTGGCGGGAAATTCACAACCTGTGGCAGGGTTAATAAACGGATGGAGCAGTGAGACCCAGAGTCCTCTGCCTCCAGCTCCCCACTCACCAAGCACAGCTCAGAGACAAGGCCCCAGCAGTAGCAGATTCTGGGGAAAAAATGGTAAATCAGCCAAACTGAGCAAACAAGACAAAGCACGGGTTAGTAGTACCAGTGCCTGAGTTTCTAGGGGGCTTCCTGCAAGGAATGGAGATAAGCCAAAACCAAAACAAGGAAGTAGTGACACCTAGCACACTGAGGTAAAGATGGGATCAGGAACAAGGACGACGGGATTGACATAGAAATTAATACGTATTTTCCTGCACATACAACCATATATGTATATGTGTATGCATATATGTGTGTGTACTCATGTGTGCACGTGGATGTTAGGCATGTGTGACCACGTGTGTCTGTGCCTGTGTGTATAGATATACGCACGTGTTCATATGTGTGTATGAGTGTATGTTGTTAAGGACCTCCAACCGAAATGTCCCCACAGACCTCTCTTTCTCATTGAAGGACAATAGTAAAGTAAAAGAGCCAAGGTTTGCAAAAGGTCAGTCCAATACTAGACTCTACAGCCTTAACCACTCCCCTGGCATTCCAGGTGAGGCTGAGTCCTATAGCAACTGACATAGCTAGAGAAAAGAGGTAAGGAAGAAAGGGCATCTTTGGGTGGGGTAAGGGAAGCCCCCAGTTGCCTCCATACAATCTCTTAGAGTTCCCCACTGAGACTTCCTATTGGCCTACCTCTGGTGGGTTGGGAGACAAGATATGCGATTATTTGTCAAAAGAAGGGGAGAAGGGGACAGCTAGAGAAGGAGTGACAGGGTACGGCAAATGACAGCAGATGAATAAAGAACTAAGTCCCTGACTGCAGACATCAGCACGGGGTAGAGGGGCTGGAAATGAAATGAGATGCCTGTCTCCCAATTCCTGCCTCTGACCTTTATTCCACAAGAACCTTCCTCCTCCTTGCATACCCTCACTCACCCCTCCTCCCCACCCAGAACTCACTGGATGTCGGATATCAGTGATGAGCAGGACAATGTCAGACATCTCTAACACTCGCCACAGCTGCCTCCACGTCTGAAAAGACAAGAGATGGTAGAAGAGAACCTGAGTCCAGAGTCCCCCTCCCACCCAAATCAACTTGACCATGGGTCTCTACACCCTACTCTCACCCCAACTCTAGTCTTACCTCCAGATTGTGCTCAAAGTAGCTGAGTTTCTCAGAGGTGTAAGCCCCATGAATCTTCCCAAGATACTCCTGGAAGCTCTGTTCCTCTTGACTCATGAGTTGCTCCTTGGACATCTCATAACTCCAAGGAGGACGTCGGGGAAAATCCAGGACTGGGAAACCAGAAAAAGTCCAAGTATAAGGATAGTTTCAGGACTTAAGGGTGCATCCCAAACCCTGCCTTCCTCAGTCTGCTCTGACCCTTCCAAACTCCCTACCCTAGCCCATTTCCTGTGCCAAAAACAAATATCCCAGTGTTGACCTCTCACTCACCCGAGCCAGGCTGATAGACCTCCCTGATGTCCAGCTCCAGCACCTCAGCACTGACAGGCTGTAGCACTTGTTCCCGGGCTGCTCTCTTTCTCCTCTCCACCTCCTCCCTGCTGTCCCGCTCAAAATGCAGCCGGTATCTAAGGAGACAGGGACCAGGCATCCAGCGCAATCCTGTGGTCTTCTCTCTTGGGCAAGCAGCTTCTCAAAGCTTTCCCTCCAGAGTTGTTCAAATATCCTCTCTCGGTTTGCCTTCCTCCAAGTCCGTCTTTCACGGATATTCAACCTTCCCCTAAGCCTCCCCTTTCTAGAGCCAAAATCTCTCCACCCTCTAAAAGGGAGGGCTGTGGACCGCTAGGAGCATCCCAGCCCCACCTACTCCGCTTTCAAGCCTCCACCAGCAGCAGCCCGCTTTCCCCGGTGTTCTGATTTCCGGGTAGGCGGGGAGGCCCTGACCAGCCCCCCCTCTCCGCCCACCCTCACCGATTTGGGTCGTAACCTCGCGGGCCCAGCCCCTGGGAAGGCTGCTGGTTGAGCCTGCGAATATGATGGGTCACAGACTCCCCGTCCGAGGTATCGGTCTGCTCCTCTCGCCGCTCCCGGCTCCCGCTGCGGCTGTTGGAACTGGAGCGCAGCCCATCTTGAAGCCCTGCGGGGAGGAGCCGGTGACGCCAGCGCCGGCCGGTTCTTAAGGGCCATAAGACCCCCTCCCCAGGCGGCCTGGCTCCACCTCACCCCACCCCACTTCTTTCGAGGCCTGGCCCTTCAAGTCAGTCGGCCCAGGACCCTCCCGGATGTGCGTGGGGGGACTCATCCCTCCTCCAGGGAGCTGTCGGGATGGCGCCCCGTTCGAGCTGGAGGGATTTCCCCTCCCCCAACACTCTCTCTCCTTCCCCATCCCTTCCAGATGTAGCGGGGGGCTAAGGTAGGGGAATGTCCTCTGCAGTCTCCCGCGCGGGTCGTCGCGCGCCCTCCCCCCTCCCATGCCCCCCCAGAGGTGCGGCGGGCACACCTCTCCCTCCAGATGTGCGGGAGCCCGAGCCCCGCCCCCTCCTCCTGCTCCCACACTGACCTCGCTTCCGCTCCCGTTTGTCCTGCAACTGCTTCTTCTTCTGCTTCACGCTGAAGGGCTTCTTCCTCGGCATGGCCCGGACCAGACACCTGGCCCGCCCTGCGCCGAGCTCCCTTCGCCTCAACTGACTCCCCCCGGCAGTCCCCGCCGCAAGGGCCCGGGACCCTAGAGGGGGCGGGGCTAGCAGGTGACGTCAGCGGGCGGGCCGAGCGACTCACCGCGGCGGCCTGATGAAAGGCGGACAGGGGAAATACTGTCACTTCTCTCCGGGAGCCAGGCGAGAGGATGATGCCGAGTGGGCTACCCGCACATGAGAGACAGTCGCACTGAGAGGGCGCAGCGGCTGCAAGGAAAGAGGTGCGCGTGGGAGGATCGGGCTAACTTCGTCACGGACGCTACCACCTCGCTTTCGGAGAAGGGGGGACGCGTGTCATCACTACCTTGCGCGCCGGCGAGAAGCTACCACCCACCTGGCGGGGGAGGCGGAGCGGAGGGCGGGTCCTACCGCCTAGGGGATAAGGGGGCGTGGACACGCAGAAGCTACTTTACCAACCCCGAGGCTTGACCTTAGTGGAGTCCAGAGACAGCGCGTCCCAGAAATGAAGCCAGGTTGCTGGGCTACAAGTAGGGGCCAGGGCAGAGGTCCTGAGGGGCAGGTGGCGATCTGAAGAATCCTGGGCGCCTCTCTGCTGAGACCCAAATTCCTTGTGAGAATGATGAGGAGGAGCTTTACAGATCTACGTATAAGCGCGGCGAGGAGAAGAACTTAGATGGTATAAGGACTTTTGGAGAGAGGTCAGAGGGCACGAAGTTGTGCCTGTAGCTGTTACCATAGTAACCGGGTACCGGATGTGGCGATCATAAGATGCGACAGCCGCCGCTTCTCAGGCCTTCTGGCCGGAGACCCTTTCGACTCTATGGCACACTATAAGGAATAGGTTGTGGTGTTTTCTCAGCGGCGGGGAAGAATAGAATATTTTTTTAAGCCTCTATAAAAACGCGGCAAAGAGAAGGCTCTACATTGCCTCCATGCCTGGCAAAGATCTGAGAACGGGGCTACATCAAACGCTCCCCGCAGCCTTCCGGAAGTGAAATGGCGGGAGTCTCAGCCTCACTGTCCACCACCCCCACGGAAACGGAAACAGAATCCCAGCCTGCCCCTTCCTCACTGCCCTCCCAAATCCCGCTGCAGCCATTGCCGTAGCCACGATGCCGAAACGAAAGAAGCAGAATCAGCAGCAGCATCTTCCACCGCCGCAGCCCTCACTGCCAGAGCCAGGAGAGACTGGAGACGAGGACGACGGGAGTCCCATCGGTGAGGAGGCCGGGAGGTGCACATGCCTGTCAGCCTGTCCGGGCAAGGGGCTAGGGGCTGACAAGGTGGGAAGGAGATCCTCTAATGGAAGAAGGAAGGATGCACGCACTGGGAGAGGGGACCTATCTGGGATGAAGCCCTGAACGAGGAGTTCTCTTCCTTGAACCTTCAACCCTTAATCCGACCCCCAAACCTTTCTAGAGAAGGCAGGGAGGAGAGAATAAAGAGCTCTTGTGCGCGCAGCCGCAGAACGGCAGGGGAGAGGGGCCGAAGAGGTTGCAGATTGCGGTGACTGGGATGATGATTTGTGATCAGATTTTCACAGCAAAGGTGAAAGTGCAGCCTTCTCTAAACTGCTCTCTCCCCAGGGGGGGAGGGGAGGAGAATCACCTGGGGTCTTTTGGACATCAGCACTGTAAGGGAAAGAGAAAGTTGTCAGTATCTTTCCTGCATTATTCTCCCGAAGGCTGAGTCTCTACTCTTTGCAAACCCTGACACAGCTTTGCAGAGGAAGGGCAGATAGGTGGAGTGAGAACTGGGCAACAAGGCTGAGAATATATTTGGCTTCGCTGGTTGGACTAAGAAATGTATAATAGAAGAAAAACACGTAAGAACAGGATCATCAGTCATTCAGTCCATTCTGATGACCATATTTTCATGTCTACTCTCAGGACCACCCAGCCTTCTGGGCCCTCCCCCCATGGCCAATGGAAAGCCTGGTGACCCCAAGTCAGGTGAGAAGGAAGGGGCCCTGACCCTTGGATTAAGTCCTAGAGAAGGGAGCAAGGGAGGGAGTAAAACCTAGGAGGGACCTAAAATCAAAAGACCAGTGCTTTTGTACCTGAGTAAATGAAGAGATGTTGTTATTCACAGATTGGAAACTCAGTGTTGTAAAAATGCCAGTTCTTCCCAAATTGATCTATAGTTTCAATGCATTCCCAGTCAGAATTCCTATCATTTTCTTGTGGAAATAAACTTTCTGCATCTTTATATGGAAATACTATGTGTCAGAGTGAGAGACTGCCAAGACAATCTTGAAAAATAAAATAGAGGGCTTACTGTGAATATCTAGACTTATTGTAAAGCTACAGTAATTATGACAATGTGGTATTAGCACAGTGGTAGACATATAAGTCAATAAAAGCATAGAGAGTTCAGAAACAAGCCTACACATGTATTTACGATGAAGGTGGCCTTAAAAAGGTAGTCTTTTCAGTAAATGGTGCTGGGTCAATTGTATATTCATGTGGGAAAAAAAAAATCTTAATCATACTGTGTACAAAAATCAATTCCAAGTAGACAGTAGATCTCTAAGTGTGAAAAGTAGAATGATTCTACTAGAAAAGAGTTCTTAACCACCAAGAAACACATACACACTAACCATAGAGAAAAGATATGTTAAATTGAGCTATGTTAAAAAAAAACATAAACTTCCATTTATTAAATAACACGAGTAGGAATTTAGAGGAGTCCCTGGGTGGCACACACAGTTAAGTGCTTGACTACTAGCCGAAAGATTGGAAGTTCCACCCCACCCAAGGGGCCTTGGAAGATAGGCCTGGCAATCTGCTTCCAAGGATCACAGCCTTGAAAACCCTATGAAGCAGTTCTACTCTGCACATATGGGGTTGCCATAAGTTGGAATCGACTGGAAGGCAACTAACAACAAAAAAATTCAAAAGAAAGCCATAGAGTGAGAGAAGATGTGTGCAACATATAGAATCAATAAGGAGCTCATATTAAAGAGCTCTTCCAGACAGTCTGTTAGAGAAATGGGCACAAGACCAAAACAGGCATCTCAGAAAAGAGATCTGAATGGCCAATAAACATGTGAACATATACTCAACATTAGTCATCATATAAATGCAAGTTATAAACACATCACTTTCCACACTCGCCAGAATGGCTAAAATGAAAAAGACTGGCAATACCAAGTGTTGTCGAAGATATGGAACAACTGCTGGTGGGAGTACAAATTGGGACAGCCACCCTGAAAAAAATTGACATTATCTAATAAACTTGAACATATATATACTCTATGGCCCAGCAATTCCTCTACTACGTATATACTCAACAGAAATGCATACATATGTGTGACAAAGACATGTATAAAAATGTTCACAGCAGCATTTTTCGTTATAGCCCCAAACTGGAAACCACCCACATGTCCATCACCAGTAGAATGGATAAATAAATTGTTGTATATGCATGCAATGGGATACTACACTGCAATGAAAATGAACGAACTACTGCTACAGGCAACCAACCTGGATGAATCTCACAAACATGATGTTGAGCGAAAGAAGCCAGACACAAAAGAATGCAGACTGTATGATTCCATTTATGCGAAGTTCGAAAACAGGCAAAAACTAACCTATGGTGTTAGAAGTCAGGATAGTGGTTACCTTTGGGAGGAGGGAGGGATAGTGAGGGGCAGGGGCACAAGGGGGGACTTATGAAGTGCTAATAAGGTTCTATCTCTTCGCCTGGGTGGTGGTAACACGTGTGTTTACTTTGTGATAATTGAATTATGCACTTAAAATTGGTGTATTTTTCTGTATGTATATTGTACTTCAATAAAAAGTAAAAATAAGATCAGGATTTCTGTGTTGGGATTAAACTGGCCATTGATCACCTTTCTGTGTCTTTCTCTGTCTCTCTCTGCAGCTCTTCATAGAGGTCCTCCAGGATCAAGGGGACCATTGATTCCACCACTGCTGAGTCTCCCACCTCCTCCCCGGGGTAGAGGCCCAATGCGGGGAGGCCTAGGTCCCAGGTTTGGCCCATACGGTCGTGGCTGGTGGGGAGTCAATGCTGAACCTCCTTTTCCGGGGCCAGGCCATGGGGGTCCTCCCAGGGGAGGCTTCCACAAAGAGCAAAGAAACCCTCGAAGGCTCAAAAGCTGGTCTCTCATCAAGAATACCTGCCCACCCAAGGATGGACCACAGGTTATGGAAGGTGAGCTCCATTTTTTCATGCATGTACACATTTAATACCCATTACTTCAAGAGTGGCCCACTTCCCAGAATACCTGTGACTCTTCTCCTTTAGGCTCTTCTTTTTTTCTTTTAAAGTAAAAGTAGTCCTGAGTGTTTCTTCTCCCAGCATAAAGAGTACCATTCCAAAATATCTGCAAATGGTAAGGAGTATGAAATCTGACCTTCCTCTCTGTCTCTACTTTTTAAATGCCCAATTTTCATTCATTCACAGACAAATCCGACCGCCCTGTCTGCCGACACTTTGCCAAAAAGGGCCATTGTCGATACGAAGACTTCTGTGCCTTCTACCACCCAGGCATCAATGGACCTCCTCTGTGAGACTGTGCCTTCCCGTCCAGGCTGGAATGAGCCCTCTGACCTAGCGGCCATAATTTCCCTGTGGCCCTGTGATGGCTACTGTGAGGCTCCTGCCCAACACCCTGAGTCAGCGACGCACCCACCCCCATCCACCACCTCCCTGTTTGGGGTCCAGCGTTGTGTTTCATCACTGGTGCGCAGTGTGCGCTCTTCTGATCGTGCCTCGAGAGACTCGTCTTTGGGGCCTCATCTTTGCTCCCTTCAGCTGCCTCCTGGATCCTCTTCCCCCTTGCCAAATGACTGCTGAACAGAAAACCTCGTTGGTGCTGTTTCTTGTGCATCTGTCCACCCATACCCGGTATTGCCCTCGATTTCAGAGAGCCCTGGAGCAGTTGCCTACCATTCCCTTCTAGCTGTTTGTTTGAAGTCCTTTTTATGTGACTCCCTCTGCCCCCATGTTGTCAGCTGCTCTGTGAAACTCGCCAGGTTGCCCAGCCTGGGGTCAAGTGTGAGTGACTGGTACAGAGTTACTCCCCGAAAGGCCACTCTCCCTGCTTTTGGGTTTTGTAGTTTCTGCGTCAGTAGCATGATCCGCATCATTATGGTCTGTGATCACTGTGCTTTGTGAAGCTGTGCATCCCCTCATAGCCTTTCTCAGTGTTTGTGGCATTTTTGTGGCTTCCCAACACTAGAGTACATTTTCTGCCAAAATGAGTGAGGCTCTTGGTGCCCTCTAGACTTTCCCCACCTCCCAACATGGGAGAATTTTGAAACTTTCCGAGAGACTGCCTCGCTGGTCCTTCCCATTCTTCTCCCAGTGTCAGTTATTCTGGGTCTGACAGACCCATGAGACATAAAGCCTCTGATGGGCCTACCCTGTCTTCTCTCCAGCCCATTTTAGTTAGACTATGTCATTGTGAGGCCACCAGCCCTTTCGTTTGACTTCTGTGAATCTCCACCTGGCCTATCTTCAGGTGGAACCTGGACAGTACCGTTGCCCTCTTCTACCCCTCTTCCCCTACATCCCTGGCACTGGTTGTTTTCTATGAAAACAGCAGTGAACAGATGCAGTTTTGAACTGGCCCTGAGGAAATGGGTCAGGAGTTGTGTGGGCAAGAGGGAGGGATGAGAGCCGTTGGAGAACTGAGAATGACGTTTTTTCTTTTTAACATTTTTTTATATTAGTAATAAACGCAGTGGAAACAAGCATTTTCTTTAATCCCTGTGTTCCAGTCACCTCTGAGGTGCAGTGAGGTTATTCTGACTTGTTGGAGTCAGCGCATTCTTCATTTAGTTCATGCATAGTGGTGACGGAGAATGTCAAAGCTTAAGTTTCTTCTAGGCTGAAAGAACAAATGGGTTCCATTAACCTATAGACATCAACCAAACCAAGCTGCATTATGTTCAAGGGTAAAGTTTGTAGGAAAAGGAAAGGGCAGGTATTCATGGAGTAATATTCAAACCTTTTACCATTGTTCGTAGGTTGGGCGTTTATGGAGAGGAAGGGGCTAAGCTTTCTTTTAACAAATATTTGTAGAGTGCCTCTGGGCCAGGTAACATACTAGGCACTAGAGACAACTGAGAGCCAAAACAAATAAATATAAATTCTAAAGGAGGACGCGCATTCACCAAGTAATCACAAATACTTGTAAAGTTAAACTGTCAAAAGGCTATAAAGGAGAGAGATGTGAAAGGAGTGTGTACTCAAGGGAGTCAGGCAAGATCACACAGACTAGCTCTGAAGGACCAGCAGGTGAAGTGGGAGAGAACTGTCCAAGCAAAGGTCTGTGATGAGCTAAGAAAATTATGGGAAGAGTGGAGACAAAGTAAAAGCACAGGAGGTAGACCATCCGTGGCCTTGCAGAAGATAAGGACTTGGGTCTCTTTAAAACAAGAAGCCTTTGAAGACTTAAGCAGGTAGATTAGACAGGCCTTTCAAGAAAATCAACTCTGATGATGTATAGAGAGGACCAAGCTTGGAAGTGGAGGATAGAAGGTACTTCAGTAGTCCAGGTGAATCATGATGGTGGCTTAGACCAGAGTATTGGCAGTGGGGTTGGAGAAAAGTGAACCTTTGGAAATGAGTAAAACTGAAGTATTTTGAATTTCTTGGGAGTAGTTGTGGCTTACATAACTAAGTGCCATTTACACAGAAAGGTATTGGAAGAGAACAAACAATGTCATTAATTTGCTTTTTAAGACACCTAAGCAGACATATAAAGTGAGTAGTCAAATATATAGGCTTGGTATTCAGATTAAAGCTAGAGACAAATTTGAGTCATCTGTATATAGGTGGTGGTTGAAGCAATTAGCATGGATAACATTGATTCATTCAGTAAAATATTAAGTACATACTATGTTTCAGGAGCCCTGGTAGTACAGTGGTTAAGAGCTCCGCTGCTAACCAAAAGGTTGGCAGTTCGAATCCACCAGCCACTCCTTGGAAATCCTGTGGGACAGTTCTCTGTCCTATAGGGTCACTATGAGTCATAATCGATGGAAACAGATTTGGTTTTTGTTTTTGTTTTGTTTTGTTTTCTGTTAAATAGTGTATCAGGTTTAAGTTGTAACAGAAACTCAGAATTAGTCTTAAAGCAAGATAGGAGTTTATTTTAAAAGTCAAGAAGTAGACAGTCTGAGGCATGTGTGACAATCATGTCATAAGAACCTCAGGTCTCTAGAACTCCTTTCCCCCAGCTTTCAGAATCCCAATCCCTAGGGTACCAGTTGTGTTGAAGTCAACTCCAACTCATGGCGACCCCATGTGTGTCAGAGGAGAGCTGTGCTCCGTAGAGTTTCCCAGCTGATTTTTCAGAAGCAAATTGCCAGGTCTTTCTTTTGAGGAGTCTCTGGATAGACTCAAAACTTCCAACCTTTCTTTTAGCAGCGGAATGTGTTAATCATTTGCATCACCCAAGGACTCCAATCCCTAGGGTAAGACCCTCTTATTCACAATCTAAAAGCAAGTTTTAGCTTTTTCGTCTGGGTTCCAAGCCTCAAGATGGAGGAAGGGACAGAGGACACCAGCTATCTTGAGAGAATTTCCTGAAAGCTAACATACAGCTCTTCAACTTCCGACCAACTGGCTATAACTTAGTCCCATGGCCAATACCTGTGACTAGCTTTGAGTGAAGCTTGGAAAAGTAGTCTTTATTGCAGACAGCCATGTGCTCAGCAAAATATCAGGGGCTCTCAGCGGCTGAAAACATGTCAGAGTAGGATGCACAGCTTCTACTAGCCACTCACTTAAAATCTGGAGATACAATAAAGAATAAGTAAAAGTGTCAATGCCTTCCAGCCAAAGATCACCAGGAACACATCTATAGTCAAACAAAGTTGGGTTTAAGTCATTGCATGGGTAACCATGAGACATCTCATTAACAGAGGATTAGGATTTCCTGCCGATGCACCTCAAGCACAGCCATCACCCTTCCATCAGTGGAGGCTTGCATGTTGCTATGATGCTGAACAGTTTCAGCAGAGCTTCCAGACTAAAATGGACTAGGAAGAAAGGCCTGACAACCTACTTCTGAAAATCAGCCAATGAAAACCCTATGATCATGACAGTCAAATTCCCAACTGATTATGGGGTTGCACAGTATTTTTGTTACATTCTACACAATGTTGCCTTGAGTTGGGGCCAACTCAACAGCAGCTAATAACAGGAATGACAGGGGATTAGGCTTGTCTTAGGTGATTTGGGGAAAGGTTCAAGGAAGCAGGGAATCATTCTGGGTAAGGTGCTCTCAGGAGGCAGGGGCAATTCTGTGACTGTGTATCTCAATAAATCTTATCTAGAAGTAGGGCAGAATGAAGCATGGCTAATGCTATGACTGGTAAAGAAGCAGCAGTCACTCATTAGCCAAGAGGGATTGGTATTCTGTGACTTGCAGTGACGTTTTTGTCTATGCTTAGATAAGATTATGAAATTTGTTTCATCCTGGTCACAGAATGAATGACCTTTCAGGTATTGGTGTTCTGTGAGATTATGTTCAGCAGGAGAATACCATGGCCTAGCTGTGAGCACCAGGCCAGCTCCTAGCAACACCAAGGCCTAACTGCTAATATGAGGCCAGCTCCTAGTTTTCACGGGCTGTTTTTCTCAAAAGTAAACAAATGAATAATCACAGATTGTGATTAAGTGTATGAAGGAAATAAATGGGGTATTATATAGAGAATAATGGTTGGGGGCTAATCAAGACGTGGTGGTCAGGATAGGCCTCTCTGAGATTGCCTGGGAAGAGAATATCTAGTGAGAAGAAGAGAAGGCTCAGGACTTATCCTTGAGAAACTCTGACATTTAATGGCTGAGTGGAGAAGGACAAAGGTGAGGCTGACAAGGAGACTGAGAAAAGATGGCTGGAGAGGCAGGAAGGAGAAATCTCAGCATGTGGTGTCATCTGGCTGCTTGCTGTGTGCCAGGTACCATGCTAAGCTCTTTATATGAGTTGTCTTATTTAAGCCTCACATTCATTCAACAGACACTCAGTGCCTACTCTAGAGCAGGCACTGTTTTAGGGGCTGAGGATGCATCAATGAAAAGGATAAAATCCCTGCTCATAGGGAATGTATACTCCATTGGAAACGATAGACAATAAATACATGTGTAATATAATTTCAAGTAATAACTCTGAAGAAAAACAGTGAAGGAAGTGAGTGACAGGTGGAGTAGAACAGGTTGACACTGAAATAGATAGGGCTTCTTTGCGGAGGTAACATTTAAACAGAAACCTAAATTAAATGAGGGAGCAAACTGCATGAATATCTGTGGGAAGTACATTCAAGGTATAGGAACGACAAGGGTAAACACTTGAAACAAGAGTGTTTGGGGTGTCTGAGTAAAGATAGGTTAGTGTGGCTACAGTGTGGGAAATGAGATCAGGAAGTATGGCAGGGATCAGATAACACAGAGCCACGTAGGCCATGATAAAGCATTTGGTTTTCATTCCAAATGAACTTCTGAGCAAATAATTTACATTTTGAAAGTACTGCAGACCGTAGGTGTGGAGGATAGACTAGAGGATGAGAAAAAAGCAAGGAGACAGTTAGGAGGCCACACTGCACTGGTCCAGGGGAGAAGAAATGATGAGGACATGGAGGTGGAGAGAAGTGGTCAGATTTGGGATATGTTTTGAAGTCCAGGTTAATAGCAACTCTATCTTTCTAGTTGCTCAAGCCAGAAAGCTGGAGTCATCCTTAAATATACTTTTCCTAATACCCCACATCCATTAACAAACTTTGTTGTCTCTTTTTCCAGAATATATCCAGAAACTAGCACTTTTCACCACCTGCACCACTATCACCCTAGACTGAGTCACCATCACTTCCCTACAGGTCTCCCTGCTTCTGCCATTCCTCCACCTCTCCTGCCCCTAGTCTGTTCTCAACACAGCCCCCAGGGGCATCCTTTTAAAATGTAGATCTGATCATGTCACTCCTCTGCTCAGAACCCTGCAGTGACTTTCCATTTTAATCAGAGTAGAAGCCAAAATCCTTAAGATAACCTACCCAGTCCAGACCCTGCTTTATTTCTCTGATTAACTCTCCAATAACCTTCTGCTTAGAGTCATGCCACCCCAGCCCCACTGGCTTCCTTGCTGTTCATTGCTGAGATGTGCCAAGCACATTCCTGCCATAGGGAGTTGCTCTAGCTATTCCTTCTGCCATGCTCTTCTCCCAGACACCCATATGGCCAAAGCTCCCACCTTCTTCAACGATTTGCCTGAATTTCACCTTCTCATTGAGCCTCATGAACAGTCTATTTAGTACTACAATCTACCCTCCTGATACTCTTTACCTGGCTTGGTGTTCTGTTTTTTCCATAGCATTATCTCCCCTGCTAGAATGTAAGCAAAGATCTTTATGTACTTTATTCAATGTTTATTTAAGAACCTAGAAGAGTGCCTGGCACATCCCATACACTCAATAAATATACTTGTTGAATGAATGAAGTATTGCAGATGGATTGTTTGGGGAGGGGAAATGGAGAAAGAGGATGACTTTCCAGTTTTGGCCCAAGTAACTGGACGAAAGGTGTGCGATTTCCTGACAAGACAAAGCCTGGAAAAGATGCAAGTTTGAGGAGTAAAAGCAAGAGTTCAGTTTTATACATATTAATCTGAGATACTTATTAGGTGTCCCAGGAAAAGTATCCAACAAGCAGCCAGAGCCCGTAGCTCCAGGGCCAAAGTTAGGACTGGCGAGAAACACTTGGGAATCTTCATCAGTTATAGTGTTTAAAGTTATGAGACACAGGTGATAAGTCTAGATAGGGAAGAGTGTCAAGAATTGAGCCTGAGAAGTCAGCACAACTGGACTAAACCAAAGCTTAGAAGTTTCCTGAATACAATCAAACACTTTGAGGGATAGAGTAGCAGGGGTAGGGGTTTGGGGACCATGCTTTCAGGGGACATCTCGGTCAATTGGCATAACAAAGCTTATTAAGAAAATGTTCTGCATCCTACTTTGGTGAGTGGTGTCTGGGGTCTTAAAAGCTTGCAAGCAGCCATCTAAGATGCATCAATTTGTCCCAACCACCTGGAGTAAAGAAGAATGAGGAACACCAAAGACACAAGGAAAGTAGTAGCCCAAGAGACAGAAAGGGCCGCATAAACCAGAGACTTCATCAGCCTGAGACCAGAACTATACGGTGCTTGGCTACCACCAGTGACCACCCTGACAGGGAACACAACAGAGAGTCCTGGATGGAGCAGGAGAAAGGTGAGGGGCAGAACTCAAATTCTAGTAAGAAGACCAGACTTAATGGTCCAACTGAGACTGGAGTTACCCCAGAAAGCATGGCCCCTGGATTCTCTATCAGTCCAGAGCTAAAACAATTTCCGAGGCTAACTCTTCAGACAGGGATTGGACTGGACTGTGGGACATAAAATGATACTTGTGAGGAGTGTGCCTCTTAGCTCAAGTAGATACAAGAGACTAAACGGGCAGCTTCCGTCCAGAGGTGAGATGGGAAGGCAGAGAGGGTCAGGAGCTGGTTGAATGGACGTGGGGAATCAGGGGTGAAAAGGAGGAGTGTGCTGTCACAGTATGGGGAGAGCAATTAGAGTCACATAACAATGTATGTATAAATTTTTGTACGGGAAAATAAAAAGTGGAAAAGGAAAGAAAAAAAAAGAATTGAGCCTGAGGCACTTCCAACATTCAGATCTCAGAAGCAGAAATCAATAGAGGAAGGTGAAAAGGGAGCAGCCTCTAGGATGAAAAGGAAACCTGGAGAGAGCAGTGTCCCTGAAGAAAACGAAGGAAGGAGTGACCATCTGTATCAAATGCTGCTAGGAGGGTGAGAAGGATGAGAACAAAGAACTAGCCCCTGATCTGGTGACCTTGACAAGAGTGGATTCAGGGAATGATGGAGACAAAAGCATGATTGCAGGGGTTTAAGGAGTGAATGCAAGCTGACAGTGCTATGGGAGCGTTTTGCCCAAGCTCCCATATCTGTAAAATGGTAGACTTAGAAGTGGACCCAAATCTCGATTGTGGTGATGATTTAATGGGTGTATACATAATGTAAAAATTTATCAAATTACACACTTTAAGTATGTGCAGTTTATTGTTGTTAAGTAAAGAACAAAATGACCTTTTGTGTCAGGTTTGGACCTTTCTGAAAACAATAAATCAAAATGCCAGGAACAAACTTTGACAGAACTACAGAGTTTTCCAAGTGTTCTAACTGCAGGGACTTACCCAGAAAAACAACTTGCCACTGAAAGATGTTTCTGACTCACCTTACCAGGCACAACCAACCCCACCAGAAAAGTATACCCTTGAAACCAATGGCAGAAAGACCTTCACTTTGTAAAATCCTCCCTTCCTATAAAGACATACAAAAGACCTGATCATTGAATTTCTCTAGTGGAAATCTCCTAACTGCCTTTTGGTTTGGATTGTGCTAACAAACCTCTAAAACTGAGGCACTTGGCATAATAAAATGGCTGACATGAGATCTGAATCTGAATTCCATTTTCTTACAAGCTGTTGCTCCTGCATTCCTGAAAATGTAACCTTGACTTCTTCCCATTCACGTGCATATGACCTTGGACGTCTGGCTGGGTGGGACCAGAAGACCCTGGCCCTCTGTCAATCATCTTCTTAAAGCGGCCTAGCTCTTGCCCCCAGCCACTCTTAAGTAAATAAGATGCGGTCAGTAAAGAGGTTTAGCAACTCTTAGTAAATAAGGGTGGGGGTCAGAAATGTGATTGTAGGAGAATAAATTTACTCAAGATGTTCCAGGAAGGAGGTAGTTGCTGATGACTACCCACCTTGTGACCATGTGACCATCACGCACTCCCCTTCCCCATCCTTACTATAAAAGCACACCTCTTCCTCCATGCTCGGGGGCACTTGGTAGATTCCTCTCTGCCCTGTGTGTTCCCAATCCATGAATTGTATTATCCTCAATAAATCTCTTTGCTTTTACTTTAACAGAGTGAGCGGTCTTACTATTAGACAGGATGCTTCCTGGTCAAGAACAGTTTATCTCTCAATATACCCTGTTAATCATGATTGACTCATTAATCAATTTTTTTCTTTTGACATTGTATACTTTTAATAAAGCTGTTACACGTATATATACAAAAAGTGAACACAAGCTCCACCGTAAATTTCAGCTCCTTGCTCTGGTTCCTTGTTTACAATTTGAGGAGGTGGGACCAGATTATCTGTACACTTTGGGATCATGTGACACATCTCAACACTGGACCGACAAAGCCTATTATTGAGTCGATGGACTGCGCAGTCTTTTCTGTCCCTAATTAGACGAAAGTGGAAGGCAGTATCCACTTTAAACTAAAAAAAAAGTATGCCTCAACAACAACGAAAAAAAAAAGCTTTAAAAAAAGTATGCTTCGACTCATTCGTACTAATTGGAAATTATTAGGTTCAGTCCCCTTGAGTGACGCGACGTCGCAGGGTCACCAGGGTCAGGATTCCCACACTGTCATGAACGCGTTGCTGACGCTACGGGAGCGGGCGGACGCCGCCCCGCCCCATCGCTGCAGGTCACGCCCCCACTTGGCCACGGGCACGCCCCCAGGATGAGGGCGCAGCGTACACGTGCAACCCCCGAGGGCGGAGTCGGCCGCGCCGGCCTGGAGAGCCCGCCCCGTTCGGGGCTTCTCGCCGCCGGAAGCGGAAATAGCACGGGGCGTTGCTGGAGTAGTCGTAACTGCCACCGCGATGCCGAAGGGGCCTAAGCAGCAGCCGCCGGAGCCCGAGTGGATCGGGGACGGAGAGAGCACGAGTCCCACAGGTGAGGCTGGTAGGCAGGGAGGGAACGAGAGAGGAAAGAAGAAGAGAAACAGTGCGTGGGTCTTAGGAGAGGGTCACGGGGCACGAGACTGACCGGGCCGTAAAGAGTCTACTGCGCATGCGTACGGGGTGACCGGGAAGTGTTTACCTTGGCAGGAGTGGGTTGGGGTGGGGGGCGAAAAGAATAGATGCTGGCGTGCCCTTCACGGGCTTCAGTGGAACTGAGCAAGAGACAAGGAAGAGCATATGGTACCGAGGGAAAAATGGGGAGAAGTGAGAAAGTCTTCAGTTTTCTCCTGGTTTGGACGTCTTTCCCACGTGCCACAGGACTGTATCAGCCCTGCTTTGTTTTTCTCCTCCCCCCGTACACACTCACCTCGAGAGCCCATGATCCCAACTATACTTCAAGAGAAGATGACTCGTCATGAACCTCTTTCGTAAGAAACACCAACCATCTGACTCAGCTGAAGCAAATGTGTAGATGTTGGGTGTGGGAACGGGGTTAAAGTTTACTAAAAAGCAGCAAATATTTTTAAATAAGCACGCTATATATACTTGTGCTTTGGGGGGAAGGAGGAGAAAAAAATATGAAGACATCTTTCCAGGCTTGAAGTCACTTCAAAGGAGAGATGAAAATGGACACAACTACAGTAGGTACACAATGATTAATTTTACAAGCATTTATTGGATGCCTACTGTATGCCAAGTACTGTGCGAAGGAACTGATGCAGAGAAAAAAGATAAGCTTTGCCCTCTAGTCTAGAGCTGGTCACATGGTGTGATAAATGTGCTTGCAGATGCTATGGGACTATAGAAGAAAGGAAGAGAGAGGGAGCCTCAGACAGGTAGGGTAGAAGTGTCAGCAAAACCTCCCAGGAATATGTGATAGCTGAGTTTATTCTTGAAGGACTTGTCGTATAAGACACAGCCAGTCCCCATCAGATAAGTATCAGAAAGATGGGGAAGGAGGCTGAGGAGAGGAAAAGAGACCAAGAAGGAGAGTAGCCAGTAAAACTGGAGGGAAACCAGTAATAAGCAGAATCCCAGAAGTTAAATAGCGACAGGAGAGGAGAGTGAAAAGATGGGGAGGGAAGTAGCATGGAATGTTGCAGAGAAGTCAAAATACGAACTAGAAAATGCCTTTTGGATTGAGCAACTAAGGGTTCAGTGGCAACCTGGGCAAAAGTAACATTCGTTAGACAGTGATACCCCAAATCAGATTGCAGTATGTTCAGAAAAGGAATGGGAGATGAGGAAGTGGAGCTAGCATGAACTGTTCTTTTGAAACTATAAATACAAAGATAGAAAACAGTAATTAGAAGGGGTATAAGATTAAGGACTAGGAGCCATGGTAGTACAGTGGTTAAGTGTTCAACCAAAAGGTTAGTGGTTTGAACCCATCAACTGCTCCGTGGGAGAAAGATGTGGCAGTCTGCTTCTGTAAAGATTCACAGCCTTGGAAACCTTATGGGACAATTCTGCTGTGTCCTATAGGGTTACTGTGAGTTGGAATCAACTTGATGGCAATGGATTTTTTTTGTTTTGTTTTGTTTTAAGATTAAGGAGTCCCTGGGTGGTGCAAACAGGTTAGTGGTTCGAGTCCACCCAGAGGCACCTAGGAAGAAAGACCTGGACATCTGAAAAATCAGCCATTAAAAACCGCATGGAGCATAGTTCTACTTTGACACACATGGGGTCTCCATGAGTCAGAGTCGACTTGATGGCATTGGTTTTGGTTAGCCCTTGGGGAGAAATTAGTGTCTGGGACGAGTCACTCAGTCTTGTCAGTGTGAGCTGGTCATGTCATTCCTTTTTACATATTTCAGTGGGCCCTCCCTCTTGACGTCTTTAGGATTAAACTCCTTGGAATAGCATATAAAGCCTTTCATTATCTGTCTCTTGTACGTCATTCAGCTTCACCACACTTGCCGTCGAATACCGAGATTAGATTTTGAAATGTGTTCTGGATGGAGGACACAGATTAAGCAAAGATAGGCATAAGCATGGCTAGGAGCAGAGAGAAACCAGTTTATCCAGAATGTAGGTGTAGGTAGAGAAACTGAGAGGTATAGTAGAAAAGATAGGACAGAGCTAGTTTAGTCTCTGAAGCCCTAAATTATAGGGATTGTCCTTCATTATCTCTACTGTTTGGCATGGTAGATGTTCAGTAAAACTTTCCTGAATAAATGATTACTATGGAATACATAGAATTCTGGTCTGAGAAGATTGTACTTCATGTGGTAGATAATAGGAAGCCATAGACTTTTTTTTTGAAAGAAGTTTAAAGGTTACAGGAATGCTTTTGGATGCAATTGGGTAGCAGTGAATGAGATGGTTTGGAGGGGAAGATGATCATGGGTAGGCCTGGACATGAAGAGAAACCATGAAGCTGCAGGCTGCCTCCCTGTGTGATTTGGATGGGGGAGAGGGAGATTAGACATAGTCCCTTACCTTAAGGGTAATAGGGATGGAAGGAAGAAAGTAGCTGCAGTTTGTTTGGTCAGTAAACTTATTGACTTCCTGTTTCGCTCCCTGGGAACACAACAAGCTGAACAGTCTCTCAGGTTGTTCTCTCGAATGAAAGACTGACACACAGATAGTCAAACATAACACAATTTGATACGTGGTATAATGTGTGAACAGAGCAGGTGGGGCAAAGTCTCAGATGTTCATTTACTTACCAGACAGCTCTGTTTACGTGGTCTGCAGTTATCACAAACAGCATATCCCAAACTGAATTCATAACATCATTTTCCTACAGCTCCCTTCATGGCAGTGGAGGGCAGGGGTAGTGATTAGGGGAGGGAACCTTCTCCTCTTCCAGTATTTCCTGTCTTAGTAAATGGTACCACTAGACCACCTAATTTTGCCAGCTAAAAACAGGAGTCATCTTTGAGTTCCCTCTCCTATTTACCTTCCTACCTCTATCCCTACTCTGTGACCCTGTGAATTCTACTTCTTTCCCTTCCTGCTGCCACCATCCTAGACAAAGCTACCATTGTCTGTCTCCTGGACTACTGTGCTGGATTTCCCTCTACACTTGTTGCCTCCCATCCTTGTTCCACTATGATGCCAGAATGAGTGTTGAAGTGCAGAAGTGATTATGTCACATGAGGTCCCCATTCCTTAACCTTAGAAGGCCACCTTGCCCCATTCTCCTTCTCAGTCTCTAAGCTTTAGCCATACAGAACCTTTTTCTGTTCTCAGTGTGTATACATTCTCACAACTGGGCTGTGCGCATGCTTTTCCCTCTCCCTGCAGCACTGGAACCCATTGTATGCCTGGCTAGCTCCTCATATTCCTCCTGCTTCAGGGACTAGCTTAAATGTCATTTCCAGAGAAGACTGGCACCTGAGATGAAGTCAATCCCCAACCCCCAAGCCCTCTGACAATAGACTTTACTTTCCTTTTAGGAATTTCAGCACACTTATAATTACCAGTTTAAAAATCTGTTTTTCAAGTCTACCAGTTCCAGAGAAAACCAGTCATCTCGTTCACTGCTGTATGCCCAGTACTAGCTCAGTGCCACATACAGTAGCTATTTAGTGAGTAAATATTTATTGAATGAATGAACAGAGGTAGGAATGGTTATTTCTGCAGGAGTTGTGGGACACTGTAAGTGTCTAGGGGGTGACCATTGAGCTGGAAAAACAGTAAAATAGGGTGGAGGCCACTGTGCGCTTTGTAGGGGAGATCAAGCTGCTCTGGCATTTGTAGACAAGCATTCTTCACAATGTCTATTTAACTTTCTAGACAAAGTGGTGAAGAAAGGGAAGAAGGACAAGAAGACCAAAAGGACGGTAAGGAAATGAGGGTTGAGTATAAAAAACAATTACGGTGCTTGCAAGCAAAACAGATGGCCCTGGAAGGAGGTGGGAGGTACGAGGGAGGAGAAAAAAAATCTTGTCGAAAGAGGAGGCAAGGGGAGGGTTGAGTGGAGGGTCATTGGGCCTGTGTGTGGCAGAAAAGGGCTCCGTCGATCGCTCCTTATGTCTTAACTCCCTTTATAGTTCTTTGAGGAGCTGGCAGTAGAAGATAAACAGGCTGAGGAAGAAGAGAAAGCACTCAAGGAGAAGGAGCAGCAGCAACAACAGCAGCAGGTACAGATGTCATGGGACCCACCAATCCTAGTGGCATCTTGGGCCCACCATCCCCATCCCAGCCCACGTTTGTTCACTCAGCTGATGTCAAACTCTGTGCAGCTGTAAAAATAGCATGCAGAGGTGTCTGACTTCCTCTAAATTCACGAGGAGAGAGAATCAGCATCAGCCCATGGCTGATTTCTATGAAGTGGAGGTCAGACATACCTCCTCTCTCCAACATTTTTACCAATTCTGACACCACCCTTCCCTCCCACGGCACTCTTTACTTTTCTGCTGGATTCGATAATTCATTACAATAACCATATAGAACTCACAGACCATACTCACAATTACAGTGTTTATTAGGAAAGTAACAGATTATAATTGAGGTTGAGGAACCCCTTAGGACACAGTTCTTCGGTCAGGACAGCTTCTTGGCCGTGCCCACAGGCCTACCCTCAACCTCTTGGCCTTCGGGCCCCTTGGGCTGGCCTGGCCTCTGCCCTGATCAGGCAAGTGTTACAAAGCTCTTTACCAGTAAGTGCCCAGAGGCACCCCACTCTGCCAGCCAGCCTCCTGCCTGAAGGCGCTCAGCTTTCTTGTTCTGCGGGCCAGGAAGCCCACTGGCACCATCTCCTGCTGGTCTCCTGGTTCTGCTGCTGCTGTTTCTCTACTAGTGCTTCTTGCCATCTTGTGCTGTCTTCAGTGTTACAGCTCTCTCTATCTCCTGGGTGTAGGAGATTCTCAGTTCAGTGATCATGGGTCCAAAGGATGTGCTTCACTCCTAGCTCTTCTTTCTTGGTGGTAGCGAGGTCCTCTCTTTCTGCTTCTGGAATGGTTCATTTTAAGCCTAGTAGGATGGTAAAACTGACCAATCGCCTCGTTAGGGTTCCATATATCTTATTTACATGGTCCCACCCCCACAAGGGTGCCATGCCTCTTATTTGCATTATTAGTGGGCTATCCAGTCTCGTGGGTGGGCCACAAACACCTCGTTTGCATAGTCCTACCCAGCCATTTGGTGGGAGTTACAAGACCATGGTAAGAAAGTTCTTATAAAAGCAATCCATCACACTACTGGAGCAGAGATAGAGTAAAGGCCTGGGCTTCATTCTGTCACTCTGTCTTTGTTTCAGCAGCAAAAAAAGAAGCGAGACACACGAAAAGGCAGACGAAAAAAGGATGTGGACGATGATGGAGAGGAGAAAGAACTCATGGAGCGTCTTAAGAAGCTCTCGGTGCCAGTCAGTGATGAGGAGGATGAGGGTAAGTGACCTGAGGAAAAGGGGTACCTGGAATCCCTGAGTTATGAAGAGTGAAGTACCTCAGGTCTTTGAGTTGGATTAGGTGGAGGAGCCAGACATTATAATTCTCTTTCCTATCTCATTTTCTCCCCTTGTCTTTTCAGTACCTACCCTGGTACCCCGAGGAGGGAAGAAGACCAAGGTAATCCACTTGTGTGGTAAACAGAGGCCCTGGGGGTGCAACCTGGACTCTGCCACTGATAACAACTGCCCTGTCATTCTCTAGGGTGGTAATGCGTTTGCAGCCCTGATTCAGGATCAGAGTGAGGAAGAGGAGGAGGAGGAAGAAAAACATTCTCCTAAGCCTGCCAAGCCAGAGAAGAATCGGATTAATAAGGTGACAGCAGTGGCTCTGCCGATCAGTTTCACCCCAGTTAGCGCCTTCTGGCCTTGGTGTGGTAATTCCCTGGTTTGTTTTCCTCTTAAACTAGCTCTTCTAGGTCTATCTTGCTTTTATTGTGTAAATCTTTTTTTTTTTTTTAAATGCTCTTTTAATCACTCAGGAATCTACAGCGATTCTGTTGCCTTTAAACTAAAAATCTAAAAGACTTCACGTCTTTGCTCTTCCACCAGGACCCCTCTGCAGTCCCCTTTGGGCCTCTCCTGTGTATACGTCTCAGATCAGCCTGACCACGTCTTGGCATCCAGTTTGACTGTGTCTGTGTTGAACCTTTTGTTGTTTATGATCCTCTTTTTCTCTTCCGTAGAACACTTTCTCCCAAGCCCGTGTCCATTACCTCTTCTCAAAAGTTGTCCTCTCAAGGAAGCCTTCCAGCATTAGCACCACCCCACCCATGTTGCTCACTTGCTTGACTTACAGTCCCTTGGCTTTGCTTATATTCTGTAGTTATCTCTTCGCTATCCATTTGGTCTCAAGGTGGAGGCTAGGATTTTTCTGGGTCTTGTTTTCTTTTTCTCACTGGCAGAGCTCAGAGTTAACTTGAACATAGTACACTCACTTCCTAGAAATGCTTATTAAGCAGCAAGGTGAGTTTTCTGTGTGTTTCTCCTCCAGGCTGTATCTGAGGAACAACAGCCTGGACTCAAGAGCAAAAAGGGAAGGGAAGAAAAGTCAAAGGGGAAGGCCAAGGTGAGGGAGTGATTGGCAAGAGGATGCTCTGGGTCTCAGAGATTAGAGCATCTCATCACACCTACCGTCTTGTCCCTGTTAGGCACAAAATAAATTTGCTGCTCTGGACAATGGACAGGAGGATGAAAAAGTAGTAGTACTAAAAGAGAAGGAGCTGCCCAAACAAGGGAAGGAGAAGGGCAAGAAGGCAGAGCAGGTGAGCATTTTGGTCGTGGGTGGGAGGTGGGAAGAGAGACTGGGACTCTGTGGCCCTTAATGGGAGAGCCAGATCTGGGGATATGGTTACTATCTAGAACAGGTTGGCAAATTTCTTCTGAAAAGGGCCAGATAGTAAATATTTTTTGCTGTGGTAGGGCACATGTGATCTGTTACGTATGTATATGTTTTTTACAATCTTTGAAAAATGTAGGAACTCTGGTGGCACAGTGGTTAAGAGTTATGGCAAGCTACAGCTGCTGACCGAAAGGTCCGCAGTTCGAATCTACCAGATGCTTCTTGAAAACCCTATACGGCATTTCTCCTCTGTCCTGTAGGGTCAGGGTGAGTCGGAATTGACTCAGTGACAATGGGTTTGTTTTTTTTTGTTTAAATGTAAAAACCATTCTTAACTTACAGGTTGAACAAAAACAGGCTTCAAATCAGCTTTGGCCCATGGGCCGTAGTTTTCAACCCCTGATATAGACAGGAAAGGGCCTTGGAGTTAGCCTCAAGTGTTCTGCATTCTGCCTCTGCCACTCACTGGCTCTGTGACCTTGAATGTATCTTTCCACCTCAGTTACCTCATATCTATGATAGAAGGGAGTTGAGCTGCTCTCTAAGGTGCTGTATATAATTCTGTTACTTTCTAGTTCTGTCATTCTGCTGGACTTCTCAGAGGCTGTATACTAGGGCTGCCTGACCTTTTTTTCGCATTAACTTACAAGCCACAGCAATCCATTTGATTCATGAAGAAAAGAACTTGTTTCGTTTACTCTACTCTCGGTTATATTGTATTGGTATTTATAGTTAATTATACAATGTTATGTTTTACACATATACACTCACATCATTTATTTCTGCCATTCCTGGTGGCAGAAATTGATAAATGGCTACAAGAAAGCTGTCGGGGGAGGGAGGGGGAATGAGAATGAGAGAGGCTTCACCAAGATGCTGAGTGGAGAAGAGTATAGAAGGCAAGAGCTGACTGTGGGACTGGGGATAGATGGCATGAAACCTGAGTTCTGGAAGGGGTCCCTAGTTTTCTGCCACCCTTTGGTTGTCACAGGGGTCAGAGGAGGAAGGGGAAGAAGAGGAGGAAGAGGGAGAGCCCAAGGCAGATGATCTTTATGCTCATCTTAGCAAAAAGGAGAAGAAAAAGCTGAAGAAACAGGTAAGACCTTGGGTTCTTAGTGGTCAAAGGTAGGGAGGGTTGATTTTTTATTCAACTAGGGGACAAGTCAATTTGGGGACAGGAAGAAGAGCTTTGCTTTGGAGGCTACTTAAAGTAAAATAATGGAAGGAAGGCAAGAATTGTTCTGTGAACCTTATCTCAGTATCTGATGGCATTGGGCTGTATTGTGGTGATGGGAAACTGGCAGACACTGGTCTCAAACATACTTTTTCCTTCTCAGATGGAGTATGAGCGCCAAGTGGCTTCATTAAAAGCAGCCAATGCTGCCGAAAATGACTTCTCTGTGTCCCAGGCAGAGGTATCTTCCCGCCAAGCCATGTTAGAAAATGCATCGGACATCAAGGTGAGGTCTGAGGGGTTCCTCACAACCAGCCTTTTCCAAGTGGTCACAGCAGCCAAGGAAGTGGGGTGTGAAGGGTCTGTTCCACTGGGAAGAAAGCTCAGGGGCATCCTCCACACCTTGGGTTCTGTCATCTTCAGAGACAAGTTAGAAAAACCAGTGGAAGAAAAAGGGTCCACACTTAGGATGGCACAAGCTGGACTGACTTAGGATTTGGAAGACTCCTGTTAGAGGCAATGGACAGGGAAGAGGGCTGGCAGTGGTGGGGTGGGGTTGGGGGTTTTGCTTGAGGTATCAGCTTGTCAGAAGGCTTCCCTGGAGTGAGAACATTGCAGCTTCTGTCACAAATGAGAATGCTCACATACTCTTCCCTTTCCTTTGCCACCCTTCTTTTCCCATTGGCTCCAGCTGGAGAAGTTCAGCATCTCAGCCCATGGCAAGGAGTTATTCGTCAATGCAGACCTGTACATTGTAGCCGGCCGCCGCTATGGGCTGGTGGGACCCAATGGGTGAGGAGAGATGGGGGCTGGAGGTACAAATGGGAAGGTGGCTGGAGGGAAAAGAAGTGACTTCCCAAGGTAGCCTGGTCCTAGCAGCTCTTATTTCCCAGCAAGGGCAAGACCACGCTTCTTAAGCACATTGCCAACCGAACCCTGAGCATCCCTCCTAACATCGACGTGCTGCTGTGTGAGCAGGGTGAGCCAGTGGGTAGAAGGGGGCCTTGGTGGGGAGGCAAAGTGAGGGGACTTGGGGGTGGAGCAGCTGGGGGAGAAGAGCCAGCCAAGACTAGAAGAAATGGTGCTTATGGAGTTGGAAAGAATAAGGGGTGGGTACTGGGGACTGGGAAAGAGATGCTGCAGAAAGAGGGGAGAGTAAATGAGAGACGTGAGGATATTTTATTTGGAACAAGTGCAAAGGGCTGGGCGGGGTCAGGCAAACCAGAAATGGGGAGGCCTGACTGCTCTCCCCACCCCAGAGGTGGTAGCGGATGAGACGCCAGCAGTGCAGGCTGTGCTTCGAGCCGATACCAAGCGATTGAAGTTGCTGGAAGAGGAGCGGCGGCTTCAGGGGCAGCTGGAGCAGGGGGATGATGCAGCTGCTGAGAGGCTCGAGAAGGTAGAGGAGATGGCGCAGGGGACACGGACTATAACATCGGGATTCCTGGGGCCCTTGAACATGTGTCCTCTTCTGCCTCCTCCCAGGTGTATGAGGAGTTGCGGGCCACAGGGGCAGCAGCTGCAGAGGCCAAGGCACGGCGGATCCTGGCCGGTCTGGGCTTTGACCCTGAAATGCAGAACCGGCCCACACAGAAGTTCTCAGGGGGCTGGCGCATGCGTGTGTCCCTGGCCAGGTGAGTGCCCACCTCACCACCTCCCCTTCCAACTTAAAAAACCCAGGCCCTCTCTTTTTTTCTTGTTCTTTCAAGGCCAGTAGAGAGGTTCGAGGCCAACTTCATCCTCCTTCACTATTTGTGTTGTGAGAATTCAGGATCTTCTTCCATTTCTCTCCATACCTGGTGACCTCTTGTCATGGACATCTGCTGCCCACGAGTTTCTCTGAGGACAGCTTGGGAGGAGTGTGCATGGTCTCAGCCTCCACATGCTAGGGGCTGCTCGGGTTCAGTGAGCAAGGCTCTTTCTTCCCCTGACCCTTGCTGCCCCACCTTCTAGGGCACTGTTCATGGAGCCCACACTGCTGATGCTGGACGAGCCCACAAACCACCTGGACCTCAATGCTGTCATCTGGCTCAACAAGTGAGTTGCCCTTGATTATGGCCTTTGCATCACTGGTTCCCATTTTGTGATTCCTTCCCCTTCTCTCCCTGCCCTCAGTTCCTCTAGCTGTTGTCCTTATGTCCTTGACAGCTCTCATTCCATCCCCCCGTCACTCCCTGCCCCCATTGTCTGTCTGCCTCCCCTGACTTTGTAACATGATCGTTTTGACACTTCCACACTCTTCTCTAAAACCCAGCTACCTCCAAGGCTGGCGGAAGACGTTGCTGATCGTCTCCCATGACCAGGGCTTCCTGGATGATGTCTGCACAGATATCATACATCTCGATGCCCAGCGGCTCCATTACTACAGGGGCAATTACAGTAAGTAGGGTCACTAGTGGGTGGAGGAAAGAGATGGAGCCTCCAGCAGAGGCCAAGTAGGGAGGGCCTTTAGGGACATGATGATGAGCCGAATCTTTTCAGAATTCAGGACAGTGATGCTAACCCCATCGTCACCAGTCTCTGGTTGCCCCTCTGCTGGGGAGAGGGGCAACTTTTGATTCCCATCCCCCTTTTCTCTCCAGTGACCTTCAAGAAGATGTACCAGCAGAAGCAGAAGGAACTGCTAAAGCAGTATGAGAAGCAGGAGAAAAAGCTCAAGGAGCTGAAGGCGGGTGGCAAGTCCACCAAGCAGGCGGTGAGCACCTGAGGCTGGATTGCCTCCCTTCTCATGAGAATGGAGACAGGGCGACTCTGGGCCACAGCCTACATTTCAAGGACTGCTGGCAAGGGTGCAGTTTTCTTTTCTTCTTCTTTCTCCCCAGGAAAAGCAAACGAAGGAAGCCTTGACTCGAAAGCAGCAGAAGTGCCGACGGAAAAACCAGGATGAAGAGTCTCAGGAGGCCCCTGAGCTCCTGAAGCGCCCCAAGGAGTACACTGTGCGCTTCACATTCCCAAACCCCCCGCCCCTGAGCCCTCCTGTGCTGGGCCTGCACGGTGAGTGGATCCAGATGCCGAGGCATCAGTTGACACATGCACACTTCCAAGTCTCCACCAAGGGCAGGATGTTCAGGGGGACCTTTAGGGTAACTGAAAAAGAAGTAACTCGCTGCTTTTCCTGCCTCTCAGGTGTGACGTTTGGCTACGAGGGGCAGAAGCCACTCTTTAAGAACCTGGACTTCGGCATCGACATGGACTCAAGGAGTGGGTTGAGGGTGTTGGGTGGCTCGAGGATGTGGGGCAGGAGCTAGAGGGAAAGTTACAGAGGGTATCTTCGTCTGACTGCCCACCTTCCTTCTTGTAGTCTGCATCGTGGGCCCTAATGGTGTGGGGAAGAGCACCCTGCTTCTGCTGCTAACAGGCAAGCTGACACCGGTGAGTCCTGGAGCCACAAAGAGCAAAAAACAAACCTGTTCACCAGAGGCCCGGTGTACAGGAGAACAGTTATAGAGCCTTTGAGGGAGGAGAGGTAAGAGAAGTGAGGTGGAACTGAAGGGCATACCTGACACGTGTGTTCTGGTAATATAAGAAATAAGTCCATTGTACAACAATTAGAAATTACATAAAAGAAAAGTTTAGAGGCAACCAACATTAATGTTTTGGTGGATAGATTTCTCCTTTGCCAAAGATGCATGTAATTTTTTTAAACAAAAATGGGTTATCATATGAATTGTTCTGTGTCAGTTTATTCCAGATAATATACATCAAGCATTTTTCCATGTCAATAATTATATGTGTACACTTTCTCGCTGACTGTCTTGTTATCCAACGTTTTGCATTTACGACAGTACTAAAGAATTTGTCATGCTATTTTGTGTATTAACGTACATCTGGCAGTAACAAACACGGAGGTGCGAGGCGAGAGTAACGCTGGCTTTGATGGTTAGGGTTATGTGTCATCTTGGCTGGGCTGTGATTGTCAGTGGTTTGGCAGTTATGTAATGATATAATTTGTTGATTTATGCAATGATGTTGTCATCCTCAATTTTGTGATCTGATGTCATTCTTCATCTTTGCATAACACTGATTCTTCAAAACAACCTGGTCTTTGGAACCTAACCATGTCAGTGAGTAAGAAGAGGGTATACATCCATTTTATATGGATTTACCATAGTATATTTGATGTTAGTCATTTAGATTATTTCTTATTTTTTGCTAAAAGGACAATACTGTAGTGAATTTTCTTGTTGCGTATTTTTATGAATTATAACCAGTTTTTCTTTAAGGTACAGTCCCTAGAATTGATTTGAGGGCTTTTGCAATATTGCTATGTAGTGCTTTAGAAAGGCTGTAGCCATTTCTATTCTCTCTAGTCGAGTGCTGAGAGGGCCCCTTTCCTCTGCCCACAGAGAGTAGATCTAGAGAAAGGTGCTGTTAGATGCCCCC